GGAACCAGCCCCAACCCCATGGGATAGGAGTTGCTGCTCGGTCTCCAGACCCTCACCTCCTGGGCCTTTCTTCCGCACTGGATCTGAGTTAGGGTTGCAGTGCCATGGTGGAAGGTGCTGCTGTGGGTGGTTGGTGATCCCTTGACTACTACTCAAAATCATGTCCAAGAAGAGTTTAGTGTAGTGCACCCATTGAACTGGAAAGCTACGTCCACCACTGAGTGGAGGAGAAGGTAGAATGCTGCAGGAGCCAGAGGGTAGGAAGTAGCAAAAGAGAAGAGCCAAAGGATGGAGGGAAGCAGAATGGGACAGAAGTAGGGGAGGAGAACAGGAGCCACTGGAGGAGTGGATAACAGCAAGAGGAGGAAGAGGGACTAGGGGTCTATAGGTACAGGAGGAGGAGGAGGAGGAAAGGAGCTAGATCATTTTGGGGGGAGGAATAGGAACAGAACAGAAGTGGGCAGGAGCTGGAAGTTGATCGGAGCAGCAGGGGGCAGAGACAGACTGGAGCAGTGGAGTCTATAACCGTTAGAACACACTCCCCTCCAGAATTTATAATTGATCCCAGGAGCCCTGTCTCTCTACATGCCTCGGATATCAGCACACAAGCTGTGAAATCCACCGGCAAAGTGTATAGCTCATCCCCCTCTAGTGTCTGCTACCAGTTATTCCATTACTTCAAGTGGTAGAGTTCTATTTTGTGGATATAAAGGTCAAAACCCTGTTGACCAAACCTGCAGGTTGATATGGTTCCACATGACAGAATTGGGGGGGGCGGGAGGGGGATTCTTTCAGTTTTGTTTTTATCCTTGGTATCAGGGAGAGGACCAGACTGAAAGGTGGCTTATGTTTTCCCCAAGAAACTAACATTCCTTCCCCCCTCTCCAATAAGATTTTTCTTTATTTTACACCCTGTTATTTTACTCCAAAATCTAGTTGCTAGCTTCAAAGAAAGAAAACATCCCTGACACAGGTTCCAACTACCATCCTTTTGGTTAATAGACAAAATGAGTTTGTCTTTTGCACCACAGAGACAAATTAGTATAGTGAACAAAATCAGCACTAAAATTCATCTTTTTGGTACTCAGCGAGACACCACTTCCATTGCTCCCACTGCTGACAAACAAAACTATCCTATATTCTCTACATCAAAGTACATCCCTATTCCAGTAAGCACTGAAGCACATGCTTAAGTGCTTTCCTGCATAAAGATGTTTTCCTAAATCAGGGCCATAGTTCTCACTGATTCAGTACACAATATACTAAAGTTCAAATGCTTCCTAGCCCTTCTAAATGTTATCTTAAACTTAACTTCAATTGTCAAATGGTGGTGGTAGTTATGGTTGCATTAGACTTCCATTGTGACAAACTGTATATGACTGTTTATCATTATACCTAAAGTTACACTTAAAACTATTACAGGTAAGACAATATTTTAGCCCCTGTGGAAGAAATTCCTCACATTACCCAACATAATGTCTCCAGCTGATTGCAGAACAGGACTGACAGACTTCAGAGGACATGGTAGAGTGGTAGGCAAAACTGGCAAAAAATAAGCGGACCCTCAATACTCTACCAAAATATAAAGAATCCCCTGGAAGAAAAACAAAACAGTAATTTCTACTGATTGCTTTTGCGGTTTCTGATTACATCATTAGGCATTATAGTCAATTCCCATTAAAAAGACAGATTCTCCTGACATCTTAAGAAATAAGGTAGTGGCATATGCATTTTGAAAATTTAGCCTGTCTATTCTAAGATAAGCATGCGCAGCTCCTATTGACCTCAATGGGAGTTTTGCATACATACGTGAGGGCTGATTTTGTCTCTTCTGTAGCTGGAAAGTTGCGGGGGCGGGCATTGCTTGTAATTATAAACTACTTTTAATTTGATGATTTAATAACTCCTACCTTATCAAAGAAAAAACATTAAAAACAAACTTACAATGTAATTAGAATGTATTTACTTAAATATAAATTGACTTAGAATGTTTCAATTTTTCTTTTAAAATAATTTTTATGGTCAGTAGCTTTGTTTATATTTTTCTTTTTTATTGCCTTCAGCTTTTGCATTAACAATTTTTTTAAAAGCCTCTCAGACATTAATTGTTATTTCAGTATTTAATTATTTTGGGCTAGATTTTCATCACTGATCAGCTCTGCTCAAATTATGACTCCAGCTGCAAGAGGGGCAAGATTCATTTCTACAATTTAATATTTGTATTACAATACAGCCTGGATCACTCAAACCAACAGGGGCCACACTATGCTAGGTACGTACAAAAGCATAACATTCCCTGCCCCATAGGGCTTCCACTCTAAACAGGCAAAGCATGGGAGGGGAAACAGAAGCACAGTGAGGTAAAATGACTCATCTGAGATATCACAGCAGGTTATATGTAGAAGTGAGAGTAGAACTCAGGTCTCCTGAAACCCAGTTTAATGTCTTATCCACTTGACCACACTAACCCCCCTTGAGCTACCTGCCCAATCCTGTTCCTAGGGAACAACTCAGCAAGGTGGGGGCAGAGATGGGTGGGAAATGGGACTCCCTCTTGGTCAATGGTCCTCAAACTTATTTGAATGTGTCCCCCTTCTTTGTGTCTGTAGTGGTTTATGCTCCTCCCTTGGGCATCCAACCAGCAGCCGCTGCTCTCTGGCCGCCCAGCTCTGAAGGTAGCACCGCCACCAGGTATGGTATTGCTGCCCTTACTTCTCCACTGTTGCTGGTGGCGGCGCTGCCATAAGAGCTGGGCACCTGGCCAGCAGCCGCCACTCTCTAGCCACCCAGCTCTAAATGTGCACAATATTTTTTTCCCCCCTAAAGCTTCTCTCCCCACCCTGAATATATTCTGCACACCTCCCAGTTTGAGGACCTCTGCTCTGGCTCAGCCCCATCTCTCCTACTCACTGGACAGGTGCACAGTGGGGAGTAAATTACTCCATGAAAAAGGTGAAGCAACTCACTCTTCTCTCAGAGCAAGGAAGGAACTGTGATTCTGAGCCATTATTCATTCTATAGCCTTTTTCTGAGGTGGTACAACTGCATACTATCTTGTTCAGGGCAGATTGTAAATTTACAGTCTAGTCTTATGTAAGTTATGACTTGTAATAAATGCATAACTAAAATCATGGGAGCATTTTGTGCCATTGATTTTGTAACAATTGATTTATATGCAGAGTTCTGCTTAAAAATCAACAGTAGTACATTGTGGCCCAAAATATTTTATAATCCTATTTCAAAATAGTTTCATTTTTCATCCTCATTAAGCAGGTAATCTTGAATTCATTGACAGATCAAGTAATACATACCTGCTCTTGTTACTAGCCTTCAAAAGTTTTTAACTTTTTCCCACTGCTGCGAATTTGATTAAGAACAAGGTAGAAACATCTTCAGCATGAAGATGAAAATCTGTGTTTTGGACATTTCAAGCCAAATCTTACTCACAGGATTTGGCTCTTGGCTGCAGGCATTTTGCAACTAAAAGTACATGTAGTGAAAAAAGATAAAAACTTACCTTCCAGAGACAATCAAATACAGTAGCTGTAGTCCTTGCTTTATTCTTTTTCTCTTGTACACTGGGGGAGGGGAAGGAGAAGAGAAGAGAAGAGAAGAGAATTTATAGCATTCTTTTGAAATTACAATATTTCCATTTTAGTGTTATATGACTCTAACCAAATGAAATAAAGAGGTTAAAACTTTGATAGTGTAAAGGGCAGCAAGCTACCACAAAATATATTATCTCTATGGGGAAAAATGGTGGTTTGCTATTCTGATCTATTATCTAAGTAAAAATTCTCCAGAGTCCCTTCATTACTGCAAACATGGCTGTACTGGGCTAAACTCCTTCTGTCCTAGACTAAACCCACAGTTCGTAGTGATTAGGGTGTGGTGAATTTATAACTACTGCAATTGCACCAAGGGCCTAGAGGCTTTTAGTTAAGATACTGTGCAGCAGTCATTACAGATGTAGTGTTATTTTTAAAAAGCGTTGTGCCATTTAACTTTTAAAATAGATCAAAACAAAGGTAAACATTTATCAATGCAAACATTTTTTGTAGAATGTCTACAATACACTTTTGTCAAACAGGTCAAAGGTATCAAATAACTAAAGTATAGTTCTTCTGTGAAAGGCAGAAAGAAAATCGTTCAGAAAATCTAAAAAGAAAAGCATTAGCAAATGTATACTAGAATCTTTTGCAATATAACTGAAAAACAAAATAGGTGTTACTATTGGCCTTTAATTATAAGGACATAATTGCAATACTTAAAAATGAATCTCCCATCTATTTCTTTATTTTAAATCAAGAAATACTCATATCTTAGAATGGCAGTGCTCATAATGTCTCTAAAGTACTGTAATAGTTTGACTTTGACCTTTATTGACTATGTTTACAACCAAGGAGATAGTTGAAAAAAAAAATCTACTTGCGTATGTCAAAGATACTAACCATCTATTTGCTTTCTTTTTTAATTTAGTGAAAGCACCGGTATACTGACTGAAAAGCAGGTCAAAGCTACACCCCTCCTGGTAAATGGTAAATCAATCTGTTAAACAAAGACTGAGATAGATTCAGTTATGGATGTACATCTACATGTCTGCTTGCTTTCCACATCACGAGTCACTCTTGAAAAGGTTTTTGATACAGAAGGATATAATAAAATAAACACAATAGAAAATAAAAGTTGACTATAGAGAATTTCTGCCTTATTAATTTGGTAAACAATTGTATTTTTTTGATAGATAAATATGTGTCAGTTGCATTCATTGTCCCAATGTACCCATAAGAACTAAGTTGTCCAAGTCTAATATATGCCCCAAATACACACACTACAAACTTCCATGATATTTATGATACAAAATCCTGGCGGATAGATGTTCTTTTATATGAAAGTGGGTTATTTGCTTTTATAGATGAGTAGGAATTCTTACAATTAATAATGAACAGTTGTAAATAACACAAAGAATTGGGAGCTTAAAACAATGATAGCACACATACCCTTCTTACACGCAGTTCTTCTACTGCCTCTAGTAAACTTGTTTTAAAATCTAACAGATGAATAGAAAGCAATGTGTCTGAAGAACTTTGAAAAGTATAAGCAGGTGTCGTTGTCTTAAAGTCTCTATCCATATTTAAATTCTGTATCTGCAATATAAAAATTTATATCATCTTTTCAGATTTAGCCTTTAAAGTCTTTCACTTTCTGAAAACTTGCAAGTGTTGAAAACAATAGATATCATAATTTAGCTATTTAAACAACCATTTCTAAACTGTGAAATTAGGCAGTAATATTTAATTTGACAAAAAAATAAATCCATTGCTTATTGCTTACTTTAGAGTTTAAATATATTTAAATTGTGATTTCTTATTTATTCTTGTAGCAGGTACATGATATAACTTGAGATCTTGCTAGCTTCTGGTTTCTTTTATATTTGTTTCTAAAGATTTACCAAAAAAGTTAGAGATATACTGAATACTTTTTTCCAGAAAATATAAAACCATTAAATGATTACACATTAGTTATTATTACCATCTTTATTTTTAAAAGGATGTACAATGACGGTAGAGGACAAAAGATGTTTTTATCACTATCTCGCCATATCCCATAATTTTTCTCTTATCTTTTGCTTTGAGTCTCAATAATAAAATAAAATAAAATAAATAAAGACACTGGGTGTGAAATAGGGAAGGGACGTAGGATCCAGGTTTATGCAGATCTGGTAGCTCAAATAGCCTACAGCACTGACATGGGGAGGCTGCAGCTGCTATTTCAACCTATGAAACGGCAATTAAATTGCCAACCCCAAGAGTTCAAAAAATCATGACTCAAGCCTAAAAAATAATAATAATAATCTTTACATTGGCTTAAAAATCATAATTTTTTAAAAAAAATGTACATTGGAGCTTTTTTCCCCACAACCATGACTGCAATAAAAACTTACTTTTTAAAAATGAAAACTGAGATTTTCTAATGGTCACTTGACTACAGGAACTAGGGCTTTAAGTAAAACACTAAATTATAATATAAAATTCTCACTGTGATATTGCAAGATTTGGCAACATAGTCGCTGCAGGGGCTGACATGTAGCACTGCTCCTTATGCTGATTTGGCAGTGGATTTCATCTACTCTACTATTCCCCTCCCTTACCCTTGTTTGTAGTGCTGGTCTCACACACCAATACAGATTCATATTACTGCCACTATTGGGGCAGCCTGTTTGGAGTGGGGATGATAATGGTGAGTTATAGTACTTTTCTCAGATTACCCAGTATTTTGCCTTATTTATGGAACAGAAGTAATTGTAGATATAGTGGATGCACTTCTAAAAATTTCCTTCTTTTTCAAAAGGTATTTTTTATATCAGCAGCCCAAAATAGCCAGAATGCAGAGTGCTCTAGCAACACCTCCTCCATACTATACCAGTTAATCCCAGGACCACACTTAACACCTCCCTATGCTGGGGCTCCAAAGGTCATGGGGGGATGGAGGGGGAGACAGAGTACAGCAACATGGAATCCTCCTTGGGGAATTCCCAATTTGTGTCATGAGGCCAAAACATGAGCCAGAATCAGTGCCACTGTTCCCTCTAAGCTGTGCGCATGTGCACATGCACACAGATGCTAAACCCTGCGCACAGGGCGAAACACTGTGCGCACAAAAAATGAAATAGTACATCGGAGCCAGGCCAAAATACCATTTACGGGAGACTTTTGACATTATTCACCCACCATCTATCAACGCAGCCAGATTCTACTAGCTGGCAAGGGAGGGGGGAAGGGAAAGGAGAGCAAAGAATCGTACCCCTCCCCGCCAGCATTTCGAAGGTGGAAAGTTGATCACGTCGGGACGGTCGGGACCCACACATATCCTTGTAGTCTGTTCATTTGGCTATGTTCAAACTCAAGTACATGCGAATAAGTCAAAATGCCTGGCCGTATTTGCTAAGGAACGTCAAAGATTTCCCAGAAATGAACAAAGGTAAGTGTTGTTTTCATGATTGAGATCTTTCAAAGGCATTGGACTTCATACATTTACTCGTGATGTTTTACCATTTTCCCACATTTTTTTGCCGCAGATGCATGGACATGATTGGAGCTATGCACAAACTTCCAGTATCCTGATCTGAATGATCTCCCGTTTGCCCTTTTGTCGAGTCACGCTGTTAAGCGCATTGAAATAGTAGCCATATAATAAAAGTATTAATTTTAAAGAAACCAATCTGGTAAAAAAATCAATCCCAAAATGTCACTGTCTAGAGGTCTAAAGCGTAAAAGAACAGTGATTTCATTTAAATCTGGATGGCTGGATGAGACTATAGAGACTGTTACACCGAAGTCACATAGTGTAATGCTTGTTAAACTTCGTGAAATATTCACATATGATGAGGACAACGGAGTGGTTTGTATATATTGTCAAGATGCCAGAGCTTCGGGAGAATTTTTAACAGGAATAATTTGGAACGATGTATGGAAGTTGGATTTCTTTAAGCGTCATCTGTCAAATAAGTCTCATATAAATGGTGTAACAAGACTTAGAAACAAAAACCCTTCCTTACAGAGTGGATTGCTTGGCAGGATTATTGAAAGTCCAGCTGAAAAACAGAGGAGGCAAATTAATCTTGAACGCAAGCACTCAAACCCAGAAGAAATCAAGGTACTTATTGACAGTGTGTTGTTGGCTATTAAAATGAACAGCTCAATGTTTTCTGTTCAGGATATTAATGACCATTTGGAAAAATATGTGCACGTACCAGCAAGCTGGAGAAGTAAAAATTATGCTTTTGAATTTCTTGAAATTATCAACTGCATTGTCCAAAATAACCTCATGCATGAAATAGCATCGGCAATGTTTCATACTCTAGCTGTTGATGAAAACACTGATATATCCATTAACAGATACTTGATATTCTACTTTAAATATAGATCCATAAATTGTGCAGACTATAAAACTTCGTTTGGTGGACTATTACTATTGCAAGAATGTGATGCTGTTTCCATAGTGTCTGCAATCAAACAGTTTTATAAAAAACACCAACTTGATCTAATGAAAATGGTGATGTTCACATCTGATGTTGCCTCCGTCATGTTGGGCAAACTCAACGGCGTGGCGGCTCAGCTGAAACGTGATATTCCACACTTAGTCCAGCAACATTGCATTGCACACCGGGAAGACTTGGGGATTTCCGATGCATGGAAAGAGGTCAAGCTGATAAGAGACATCGAAACCTTAATGAGAACTGTCTAAACAGTGTTCTGTCAGTCAACCAGGAGAAAATGCAAATTTTAGGAAATAGTGGATGCTTCTGAATGTGAGTCAGCGGCTTTCAGGCCACTCAATGAAGTGCGCTGGTTATCTAGGCACTTTGCACTTTGAGCAATTATTCGCAACTATAATCCTCTTCTGGAATATTTTGAGCAAGACAAAAGATACTGATCCAGTTTCTAAATACTGCCACAAAACGCTGAATACCATGGAATACCGAATAACATGAGAAGTTTTGAATGATGTTTTGTCGGAGCTGGCTTCACTATCCACGCTGCTCCAGAAACGGGGCCTTACACCTCTTAAAGCATTTCACCTTGCCAGAGGTAAACTAAACAAGATCAGAAGACAGTACCTTGGAGGTTCAGTCTTATGGAGTGACAAAGTTAAGGCTCTTTTAGATATGAGCTCTCAAGAAAATAATGAAATTGATACCAGTTCCATAATAACTTTCATAAACATCTGGTGTGCACATTTGGCAGACAGGTTTCCAGAGGATGAAGTCCAGGAGTGGCCTGCTTTTGATTGTGCAGCAGAAGTTAAGTATGACTTCAATTTTGGAATTCATCAGGTCAAATCCCTAGGTTCAAAATACAAAGACTTTTTTGCTGAAGAGATTGTTATAGTCAGTCAGTACAATGACTTCAAATTTGCAGTAGCCGAAAGAATCAAAAGCCAATTGGTTTTAAGTTTCCCAGATGTGATGACATTTGCTCACCAGAATGAAGAGTTTCAGGATCTTGCAAAGTTGATGAATATTGGAGGAACATTCCTAGCACCAAGTGCAGACTGTGAGTGTGGCTTTAGCTTAATGAACACTCTAAAAAACAAACTACAGAATCATTTACAAGTAGATCATTTGAACATGCTGATGTGTATTAAGAGTTACCAGCTGGATGGAGGATTGATAGATCTGGACAGAGTTTATATTGAATGGGCAAATGAAAAAGATAGCAGGGAAAAACAGTAAGGTTAGTTTAGCAGTCCTTGACATTTTGACCAATAAGGAAATTAAAATGCATTTGTAATTACATATCTTATTCTTGGCTGATAATCATTTATTGATATTTTTTAGGAAAATTTTAAATTTAAAACACAAACTCTTGTTTTTCTTTTTTTTACTTATGATGTCTCTATCTGAAAATCCATATACATTGACATAATAGCATACTTATTAAATTGCCTTTATTACATGTTTATCAAAATCTTTTCGGACAGGTGTATAGAATGAAAGGTGAAAGTGGATACCAACGGGCAGAAGCCTATGGACTGATAATGATCTTGGATTAATATGTGCTTGATATATGCTCATGATTGTCTATAAAAAAAAGATCATACAGCGTAATGCTTAAAACTAACTTCTGCTTCATGAAGAAAAGTTAAATTTCCTTTTTCTAAATATTTAAAAATGACATTTATAAAATAACAAGGTGTAAACTATTATCATCACAAATTGCAAATTAAAACTTTTTAAATGTATAAGCATTTTACTCGCTTGGGTGCATTTGCCTCATGGTGCACAAATTTGAACTCTGCTTCAAAAATTTGCACAGAAGAAATTTTTTTGCACACACAGCCTGTCAAAAATTAGAGGGAACATTGATCAGTGCCTAAGGCCTTGTTAACTGATGGCTAAAACCATAATATAAACACACCCTGAGTTGCTTGGGGAAGGGATTGTAGGTGTGATTATTTTCTCAATTATACCACTGCAAATCAGGAGTAATTCTAATGAACTCACTGAAGTTACACAAGGGGGGGGAGGGGAAAAGAGGAGAATCAGGCCCAGTATTGTCTTCTGTCTTATACAGCACCAATAATACTGTCAGCACTGGATAATAAATTATCAATAATAATAAAAAAAAGTACTTAAGTT